GGCTGTTATTGAACAGGAAAAGGGTGGTCAATCTTCGGAGGTCGTGAAAAGCCCGCCTGTGAATCCACTGCAGCTGATTTTGATGGATGAGCAGCCGATCCAGGTTTATTAGTCCCCTGAACGTGTTCTGATGGAGGCTCCAGAGCTTGTTTCCATGGAGAAAAAGATGGCTGAGGTTAACCAAGTCAACAAAAATATCATCCTGAAGGAACTCGATGTGGTTGTCTTGCAGGTAAAGGTATTGCAGGTTGTGGAGGCCGCCGAATATCCCGCTGGGGAGGGAGCTCAGCCCGCACTTGTACAGATACAAGGCGTGGAGTTTCACCAGCCCTTGGAAAGTGTCTGCAGCTAAAGCCCTTAGGTAGCGGTTGTCCCCCAGGTCCAGCTCTTCCAGGTTGACGAACCCGTCGAAGGTGTTGGGGTCGATGAAGGTGATGTTGTTGGAGTAGATCCAGAGGGTGACCATGGAGGGGCTGAAGTGGCCCCGCAGCAGCAAGGTGATCTGGTTGTTCTGCAGGAAGATCCTCTCGCTGTCCTCGGGGATGCCCTCGGGGATGGTGACGAAGTTGTGAGCCTGGCAGCTGACGGTCATCGGGGACGGGTAGCACACGCAGTCGGTGGGGCAGCCCAGGGCGCTGGGCACCTTCAGCCCCAGCAGCACCAGCAGCAGCTCTGCAAACCCCCCTGTGCGGAGAGAGGGGACAGCGGCGTCAGCGGGGACTCGGCCCCCAAAAAAAACCCCCCCGCCCCCCCATCTCTGCCGTGGGGACTATTCCGGGTGAAAAATGCCCCAAATTAACTCAGCCCTCCTCTCTGCTCGTGAATTACCCACAGGGCCGTGATGAGTGGGCTCATGGCCCGCGGTAGTTTAGATGTGATGTGCGGCGTACGCCCGGCCGCGCGCCCTGCCCGCGGCAGGCGGTTGCGCTTCCAGCTTCCCCCGGGCAGGAGAAACTTTCTCACGGGGGAGGAATTCACTGCAGGCAGCAAAGCCCTTTGCCTGCAGGCAGGCAGCACGGTCGGGGACCTGCCGTGTTGTGCAAAGGGGTGAGAGCGAACAGAGGAGATGCTTCCACCCCTGCTGTAATGCATCTCTTAAATCGCCCGCGCTTACGGGTCGGAGAGGAAAAAGTACGGAGCTGTAGTGATTCCCAGCGAATCGCCTAAAATTACAGGCGGGCGGCACATCTGCGCAGCGCACCCAGCTCCCCCGAAGGCGCAGACCCGTCCCCGCCGCCTCTTTTTACTACAGTCGTTACAGAGGAGATGCTTCCACCCCTGCTGTAATGCATCTCTTAAATCGCCCGCGCTTACGGGTCGGAGAGGAAAAAGTACGGAGCTGTAGTGATTCCCAGCGAATCGCCTAAAATTACAGGCGGGCGGCACATCTGCGCAGCGCACCCAGCTCCCCCGAAGGCGCAGACCCGTCCCCGCCGCCTCTTTTTACTACAGTCGTTAGACACCGCCATCCACCCCGAAAACCAAGGGATTTACAGGAAAATACGTTGTCAGCAGTTGGTGGGAAAGGCTGAGCTGAAAACTCCGTTCGGAAGTGGGATGCTCAGGCATATTTTTAAATGGATGTCCTGTGGCAAAGCATATTGCATCCTCTAAAGCTACAGTATGTGCTTGTGACCGGGGCTTTCTCGCCGCGGAGGAGAAGCGGTGAGCAAGGCAGTAATCATCCCCTCCCTCCGCTCGGCTCCCCGAGCGCCGGTTTCGCCGCCCCGTTCCCGTCTCGCTCCCACTCCTCGCACCAGGCTTGCTTTCAGGCTATTCCTCCCGCGCCGAGTGGCTTTTCAGACTCATTGCACCAGACTTGTCGTTTCTCGTTCAGATTTTCCTCCTAGATTTGGCTTTTTCCTCTTACGCGCAAAATTTGTTCACGTCTAATGAATTCTGCCTCTGGACTTCACAGGGGAAAGGAGTAACACAGGAGCATCGTACAGCTGCCGGTGCCATCCTGCCCACAAGTCCTCGCCTTGCACTCGGCTTGTAATAATCTGAAAAACGAGAGTGGAAGTGGAGTTCATTTCTAATTACTCCATGTCGTTATCACCAGCTAGTCTGTGAGCCTGGACCCCTTGGGCTTTTACTGTCCCTCTTTTCAGCGCCTACAGCTGAATACAAGTGGGAGGCAAAAAAAAAAAAAAAAAAAATCACTGTTTTCTTATTAATTGTTTTGAAAGATAACTCCGTGGTTACCATTGCCTTTTGCCTGATGTGGAGATCTATTACCATTTAGTTAACAGCAGATGACCCGTCCATCTGGACCCATCCTTTCAAGGCACCGTTGTCACATTTTTAGATAAACTGGGTTATTCGGGCTCTCCATAAATCACCAGTAAGAGGCAGTCATCTC